CAAAAGAAAGTCACCAGGACATATTATAATCAAACTTGCCAAAACCAAAGATAAAGAGAGAATTGTAAGAGCGGCTAGGGATAAACAAAAAGTCATCTACAAAGGGGAGTCAATAAGAATAAGCTCGGACTACTCAGCAGAAACCATGTAGGCAAGAAGGCAATGGGATGACATATATAAAGACTTGAAGGAAAAAAACTGCCAGCCAAGAATTATATATCCAGCAAAACTGTCTCTCAAGCATGATGGCGAAATTAGGGCATTTCCAGATAAACAGAAGTTTAGGAAATTTGCAAAAACCAAACCAAAATTGTAAGAAATACTAAAGGGAGTCCTCCAGTTAGAAAATCATTAACATCAGATAACAACCCAAGACTAGAACACAGGACAGAGCAACCAGATATCAGTCCAGATAGGGAAGTCACAAAAATAAATCAAAGCTAAAACACTAAAAATAGAGAAACAGATGTCAATATGTAAAAGATGACAACATTAAAACAAAAAAGAGGGACTTAAAAAATGTAGACATAGACTTTGCATATGGAGTGGAAGTCAAGGCGATATAAAGAAACAACAGACTGGTGTAAACTCAGAAAAATAAGGGTAAATATTAAGGTGACCACAAAGGAAACTAACAATCCTACAAGTCAAAATAAAAAACTAGAAAAATACAAAGACGTAGCAGACACAAAATCAAGATTCATGAGAGGGTCTAGAGATCGGGGGCTGACACCAGTGTATGGTGTAGTGATTGCTGTGGGCTCTGCACCCTTAGTGGACCGACTGCCCCACTTAGACACCACTGACGTGTCCGTTGGTCCTCAGGTGGCATCTTCAGCACGAGGGGCACCCACTGTGGGCTGGCAGAGTGTCGCGTTCTCAGGTTGGGTCTTAGCTCATGCTGGACACAGATCCTGGGCTGGTTTTCTTTTCTTTCTTTTGAGGTTTTTAAATCAATGTTTATTTTACAAAATTTCAAACATAGTACAAAAGTAGAGCATTGTACAATTGTCACCATAATCAATTTTAGAATATTTTTATCACCCACCAAAAAACCCTTTACCCATTAGCAGTCACTCCCCCTACC